GCACATCCTTCTAGTTGCTGTATGTGGGACGCGGCCTCAGCATGGCCGGAGAAGCGGTGCGTCGGTGCGCGCCCGGGATCCGAACCCGGGCCGCCAGTAGTGGAGCGCGCGCACTTAACCGCTAAGCCACAGGGCCGACCCCTGAGCCTCTGTTTCTTAAATCATAAAATGGAGTCAGGGCTCCTCTTGTAGGGCTGGTGTAAGAATCAAGTCAGACAATGTATATGAAAGCTCTTTGTAAACACTAAATCACTTTACAAATGTAACATTATTTACTCGCTTAAAAATCATCATTTATTGTTCCTTATCTCATTTCAAATCACATCCTACATCCTCTTGCTAGCCTTTTGGCCAATGCTTTATAAAACTTAAGTCAGACACTGAGAGTGGCAGTATAGTCAAATCATTTTATGATTCAGGTTGGGAGTCTCCTACTTTATGGTTCATCAGCTCTTGTGGTCAGCAACTTCTAAGCTTAAAATTTACATCTGACGTGTTTATAAAATATTGAAGCCATCATGTTCTGTAAACATACTTTTAAAACCAGTAGGGGAATAGATGAAGACAATCAAATTTGCTACAAATCTTTCCTGAACCTGGCTGATATGGCACATCAAGATGAATTTCACAGTTATCCATCTACAGAGGAATGTTTACAGATAAGATGAAAGTAGTCCTCCTTATTAATCACACATTGTATATTTGACTTCTGCCTCCCTCCTCAGCCTTTAAATCAACTACATCTGGTTTTTGCTACTTAAATGTGCCATTACCTTTTGCATTAAAAGGCAGTTACTCCTAGAGAAAGCAGCCCTATTTGATTAAAAAATAATTAACTAGAGTTATATTCATGTAACTCATCATGACAGCCCAAATATGCATTTTAGTATAGGTTGGAGAACTACTTTATTTCTACGACAGGGTCAGCAGAATTGGGAAGCTCTTTATGATGAACGCCATCATTAAGCAGTTATTTTGCTTTGCTGGTGTTAACTTTTACAGTTAAAAAAGAAGTACCATAATACAGAATAGATAGATAGGATCTAATATAGATAGAATCACCAAGCAGCTGAATCTTGATGTAGTCACCCTATGCCAGAGGGTGTCCTCCTCTGTGGAGACTGGGGCACAGGATTATTATTACATCCAGAGCAAGTCAAGGTCTGGGAACTGACTCCCACTTACCAACTGCATAATAAACTGATGTGTGATTATCAAGCCGATCTGTATTGGAGCTCACTGATTAGTGAATTCTCTCTCAGGAGGGAAATATACATAGGAAACTGAATTGTTATTTGAAATTTCTTGGCAAGCAGAGAACCTGACATATCAGAATAAATTTGATGCTCTAAATCACTGCTACTCAGGGAAATTGTTGTCCTTTTGCGAGCAAGGTAAGAAGCTTGCACCAGAACGTAAATTAAAGCATTAGAGCATCACTTTCTTCATTGAGAAAGTCTTGCTCTAATATATATATATTGCATAAGTGAACTAAATAGTGTGCTTAGCAACATAAATAATTTGCATTCTGGCAAAAGTTCCTTGTCTCATGGCAGACTTCACAAACAGTTCTCATGCAGGCAGTTAATTCTATGGACCACACTTGAAGCACTGGTCTTTGCCTCAATCAGAATTACATTGAGAAGCTTTTTAAAATATACGGTTCCCTAGTATATACTTTGAAAATTCTGATACAGAGTCCTAGTGTTTTGTACCTCCTTCTGCATTTTTAAAATGCCCTCCATGTAGTTTTGACAAATAGACAAGGTTTAGGAGCTACATAATAAAATGCATAAGTAGTGCTAACTGAATAGGTTAGAGGTTAAGAACATGGGTTTTGGCATTGAGAGTTGAGTTCTTGTTTGTTCCTGAGTAAGTTATTGTGAATTTTCTAAGCCTCAATAGTCTCACCTATAAAGTAGCGATGATAACACCTACCACTTTAAGTTGTGAAGTTTAAGTGCTATTAAAAAAGGAACGCACTTAGCTCAGTGCCTGCCACAGAGTAGACAATTGATAAATGTCAGCTGTAAATGACAGATATCATCTCCATGATGGAGACTTACTTCCTATTTTTTAGAATATACACGTTCATATACAGCCCCAAATTCCCTGGACAAGCAAAGAACGTGCTGCTAACGTTTGCCTGTCTGAGGCTTTGTTTGCTAAACATCTGTCAAACGTATTAGTCAAGACTCTTTCTGTTGTAGGAAAAAAAAAAAAAAAGCAAGCTGCTCTAGGGGAGATTATTAGATCACACAATTTACAACTGAATGTCCAAGAGTGGATCTGGCCAAAAACGTGACTGGATCAAGGTGCTCTAAAGGTATCCTTCTATCTGTATCACTCAGTTATCTATCATCTATCTATTTTTCTGAGTTGGCCTCATTCTTAGGCTGGCTCTCGTTTTGTAATGGCAAAATGGGGCAGCAACAGTATCAGGCATATATGTTACCAGCTTACTAACCACAGAGGTTAGTACAAAAGAACCAAAGAAGTTCTTTTGTAAAATAGTTGGACAAAACTCCAGAAGTGACACTTAATGGCCTTCCTTACAATGTCTTTCCATTCTTGAACAATTCATTCCCTCTAAATAAGAGCAGAACATTTTGATTTGTCAGGCTCAAACATGCACGCACTCCTGAAGCTAGGGTGGGACAACTCCACCTAGGTCATTTGTTCTGCAGGGAAAAGGGTAATTTCCCAAAAGAAGGTCAAGGGATGTTATTAGGAAAAGGGGGAATATCTGATGCAGAATCCCAAACAACAGAGTCTGATACTCTGACTACCCTCCTTCCCCTACCCTTCCATTGCTATTTAAATATGTTAGTTCAATTGGAATAAAGCCCAAATTTGACCTAGAGACTTTACATTTTGTTAAGATAATTTCCATATATTTATTCTAATCTATTTTTTATTTGTTTTATAATAAATTTTTGTAGGTTGAATTTTTTTACCCTAGGTCTGCATGGGAATAAAGGATGAAAGGAAGTTACCTTCTACTGACCAAGAAGAAAGTCAGAATTTATTAATAACAATATGAGTTTGATTATAACGTTTCATTTTCTTTAGCTTGAGGCAGATTCATGTTTGATAAGTAGAAATAAGCAAGAGATGGAGTTAAAGTGAACTGCCAAAGTTTCACAAAGGGGAATTTAGTTTTAGCCTATATTTATTACATGATAATAATGTTACTATGGATTAGAGAAGAGTAGATATATTGTGGTTCACTAGCATCAGTGAAAAATCACGTAGCTTGTAATGATTTGGAACCCAGCTTGTGTAGCACGACTTGGCAGAACTATCAAGTGGTTAAGAGTGTTGGTATGAAAGTTAAGGACTTCGGCACTCAAATCCAAGTCTAGCTGTTTTTGTGGTGTGTGGCCTTGGACCTGACTTCTCTAGGATGCAATTTCCTCATATGTGTAATTGAGTAATACACTGCAGTCATCACGCAGTTGTGGGGGAGAATTAAGTGCACTGACAGGGAGGTGCAGGCTTCTTCTGTATTTTTCAAACAGTGCATATGCTTAGCTTTATTCTCCCAGGTGCCTAACAGGCTCCCTCGTAGTAAGTCACTTAATAATTCTTCTTGGCCCCTAGGTACCATTTATTTTACAATCATAGTATCCTCTAAGATGGCACCGTAAAGGACTAAATGTTACCCATGGCAAGAAGGGCAAATGCTGCTTAATGGGCTATCCTTCAGTGCCTTTTTTTGAGCTTGCAAAGGAGCACTGAGAATGATTTTAGCTAGCTCTGAGGTTCTGTGGCTCATTTCATGTGCTGTTTCCTATACTTTAATATTCCCTTAAAGGCTTGTGTTTTGGGCATCTGCCCTCCTCGTACTCCTTGTCCTATTCCCCTAACCCCACATGGTCTTTTAATTATCATTACGGAAATGGAAGCAGGAGGCTGAATTTTTCTCAGAGATGAATGGTCAATATGGTGTAATGGAAAGAACAGAGGACCAAAATGTAGATTTAAATTATCATGCTAACTCAGCTGTATTCTTGCTGGGTGACATTGGGCTCCTCATTGACCTTCTCTGATTCTGTTTCCTCAGCTGTAAAATAAAAAGAACAATGAGGCCGTCTGTGCCTCACTCTCACATCTTTGCTGTGAGGGTTAAATGAGATGATGTCGACAAGAAAGCACTGTCCAAGTGCAGGTTTTCATTATGAATGTGATTTGGAATATATATTTGTCCGTATATTAGGAGTTTGTTAGCAACTGGATCCCTATGTGCTCTGCTCCCACTTCCCCAACTCCTGAAGATGCAGAGGACAGACATCCCTGCCAGATGGCTAATTTGCCAGCTGTGTCTTGTTTCGTCATTGTAAATATTACATGCTTCAACCAAGAGGCTTTGCTCATAATGTAGTATGTTTTGTCCTTTATCTTTTGCAGATTGAGAATTACATTGTGGAAAATATGAAGTCGGAGATGGCCCAGATACAGCAGAATGCAGTTCAGAACCACACGGCCACTATGCTCGAGATAGGAACCAGCCTCCTCTCTCAGACGGCAGAGCAGACCAGGAAGCTGACAGATGTTGAGACCCAGGTACGCCCCTGGGCCGGAGTCGATAAACTCTTACCCAGGAAGATTTTTTTTTTTCCCTTTAGCTTACTGCATAAACACAAGGCACATTTCAGCATTGGGATTGGGGAAACATATACATTTTTGTTTATTGATAATAACAACAATGGCTGCCTGACACGCTATGCATGTTTCTTTTGATTTAATAAGGGTTGGTATATTTAGCTTTGTATGTGTTTGCAAAAACAGGACTGGCAAAGGACTTAATCAGCGTTTAAATTCAAATAAACACCGCAGCTACCAACTGTGATATGATATGTGTCAAACAAAATAACCACTTGGGTCAAATTGGTGCCTTTGATGTACATTGTTGACCTGTCCTGTTTTGTCTCTGGTATTACTCCAGCTGTAATGGCACCTGCAAAGGTTTTGTGCATTCAGTGGATAGGAAGGAAAATCCCAAATAAACTGATCAGGAAGTGTAGCTTTTTTTTTCATTCAGCATGATTTTGTAATGAGAAGTCAATTAAAACTTTCTCCATATATACATATATGTGCATATATATAAAATGTTACCCTACCATGGTCGATAGCATACTTATTTATGTACAGTCGTACTTATTTATGTACAAATCAGTAAAATTCCCTTTGATCATCACTGTCACAAACCTACCATTACAGTTCAATGTAAATATCATTTTTGATGACCAGAAGATGATCTCTTGGTCCCCTTTTAACTGCGGAAGTGGTTATTCCAGTTACCATTTTGAAACCCAGAGTATGATTCTATCTCAGTATAGTTGATTTCTAGAATCAAAGCTGAAATATATTATTAAAAGGTAAACTGAGGCAAATTAAAGTTTTCAAGAGTTTATTTGAGCAAACATCAATTCGAAGTGGGCAGCGCCAATGGAAAGTAGTAATGAGCATTCTACTGTAGGAGCTAAGCGAAAGGTTTTAATAAAGGAGATGCAGAAGCAAAGCAAGAAAATTATTTGATTGGCTAGAGCTTAAGTTGTTGCCTTATTTGGGAAAGCCTCCTTGGCTGTTTGTGATTGGTTGTCCTTAAGTTTCATTTTCTTGAATTCAAGTACATTGATTCTGGCTTAGATTTTAGTTTGCTTATGTAGATTACCAAGGCATTAGAGCCACCTCAGTCTAGTAGCCTCCTTGTTTAATTATTTTAATAGTATAAATTCAAAAATAAGATGCAACCTTATTTCTGTTTTATTTCATTTGTATTAATGGCATCACAGATCATATGCTGGTATTTAAAGAGAAATAACAAGGATAATTTATATGGACAGAGGATTTTATATTACACAAACCATTTTCCCTTGTACAAATGATTTTTTAGAAACCATTTAGAGCAGACAAGAGTCAGAAATTTTGATTTTCTCACCTTGAGACAGCTAGTGAATCGAATCTGGGACTCAAACTGAGGCATACTCATTTCTTTCCTTTTCTGTCCCCCTCCATTAGTAATATGAAAAATTAACTAACTGAATGCAAACTTAATGGATTACATTGGAGCAATAAATCACATAGACTTGGAAAATATTTTTTGCTACACACTATCATCAGATAACCATGGGGGATGGGGAAAGGTAAACAACATATTATAACTAAAAATTATGAGACTTTATATAATCCTTTATCATCCCACTGAGCAAGCTTGGTGATGTAAGAGCACTGGCTTCCAGTGATATAAATAATGTGAGTGTATTTTCTTTCTTTTTATTAGAACAGAATGCTCACCATCTCCTACAAAGCATTCTATATATTCAAAAGCTGAAATACACAATTAATGTTACCTTATTTGATTGAACATTTAAAATTTTTATGCATTTCTGTTATAATAAGTTTTATGATATACATAGCAAGGTTTTGTTTTATTTTTTCCATCCCTAAAAATCTCTTGAGTTGTTTTTGTTCTCTTTCCACTTAAGAATTGGAGTTGTGGGGAAAAAAGTTTCCATTGTCAGCATATTAATCTCAAAACTGTTAAGACGCATGCCATGTAAGATTTTAAGAGATAACAACTTGTTCTTTATTCTTTTGTGTGTGTGTGTGAGGAAGATTGGCCCTAGGCTAACATCCTTGCCCATCTTCCTCTACTTTATATGGGACGCTGCCACAGCATGGCTTGATAAGCACTGCATCCGGCGCCTGGCATCCGAACCCGCGAACCCTGGGCTGCTGAAGCAGAGCACACAAAGTTAACCACTACACCTCTGGGCGGGCCCCTTGTTCTTTATTCTTAAGGGTAAGAGAGAAGTACTTTGGAAAATAGTACAGAAAATTCGTAGAAAAAAATAATTATTCCTTGTATGGAGCAGCTAAAACTACATAGTCACTAAAGGCCAATGAAAGTTTATTAGATGAACCAAGAAGAATTTTAAGATAGCTAAAAACTGGGAAAACATCTCAAAAATCACAGATCCGTCAGAACTGGCAATGAGAGAAAGGTGAAGAAGGAAGACAATGGCTCAGACAAACTATGTCCTACCTTAAGAAGTGAATCCTGGGTGTTCTTTACATCTTCATTTCAACGTCTTCCAGTTGTCTGTGCTATTTGTAGCTGTGATGCTCCAAACTTTTTCACGCGAATATATACCCACGTGGTGCTTTTTTGAACCTTTGCAGTAGGACATGTTCTACTTAGACATAACCATTCGAGTGCACTCAAGTCCTGATACAGGGCCAAGTTTACAGAATGAATCCTGAATTAATCCTTAATCTCAATATACTTTATTCTTTTGTAATAAGCATTTATAAACCAGTAGATCCTTTTGTGGTATCCAGGTATGCGCCCAGGTTTTTGCTCCCATATTCATTGTGCTTTATTTTATATTGGTAAGTGCTGCTTTCCAAAACTGATTTAAGGTCCTCGGTTATTTTAGACACTCATGCCAATGGTTTGGCAATATATTTTGACGCCCTAACTTTCACATGATGATGTTATAAAGATAAGTAACTTCTTGCTTTCTAGTCCCCTGCTCACCTTCTAGAGTTATACTTAACAAAAGATGGTAGAGCCACAGTTTTACTGCAATGGCATTTAGAGATACTCTTGTGCTCCGTAAACATCATGGTCAGAAAAGAGACAGATAATGAGCACATCTAAATAACCCAGCTGGCCATGGTGGTGAGAATCAGGAACCAACACCATGCCTGGTGCTTCCTCCTTAGTCTAGCTTGCAGTGTTTTTCTCACTCTGTTATCAGTTTGTATCAATATCTCCTCTCCTTCCAGTTCCTCTTTCCAAGGGCGCCATATGAAGGGGTTAACATCAGACATTATTCATCTCCCTTCCTATAGTGTGAGGCTATTTCTGACTTCTTTCTCAGGCCAATTTTGATTAGAGGCACACTAATAGACAAACAAACTACATTAAAATTCGCCTCTAATAATCTGTGCTCGGCTCTGTTCTAAGCAATTTTACATATATTAGCTATTTAATAATTTTTTTAAAATCCTATGGGGTTGGTACTATTACCATCCCTTGTTTAAAGATGTGGAAATTGAAACACAGAGAGGCAAAGCAACTTGCCCCAGATGAAAGAACCAGTACATGTTAGAGCGAAGATTTGAACCCAGGCAGTCTGGCGTCAGAATCTACATGCTTTACCAGCTCTCTATCTATACTCTCTCTCTCTCGTGATTCCTTTCTCTCTCTAAGGTTGTGGACACTAAATGGGTCCAGCAGAGGGTGAGATGGAAATCAGATGAAGCAAAAGTAATGTGAACCTAATAGTAACAACTGAGTGTTTTCTGTAAATGATGAAGATGCTGCTGCTGTTCTGCTGCTGCTGATGGGACACCAATTATTGCCATTTTACCATACGCCTGCACATCATCTCATGTAACCCTAGGATCCATAGTTGTCCTTGGCACTTGCTTGCTCTGTAACTATAGGGAAGTTCCTTAGACACTGATCCTAAATTTCCTCCAATTTTTCAATCATTTATGTGGGAACCATAATGTTAGAAATGAATTTCATCAAATTTAAAAAGTTATATTTTGAGTACCTCCTTGATGCAAGATATTTTTAAATACAATATAGAATACAACAATAAGTAAAGCAGTCCTTATCCTCAGTGAGCTTAATTAAGTTAATGTAGCAAAATTTTTCTAAACCATTTCTTCTTAACTTTAAGAAAGTTAATTAGCTATGGAGCCTTTCCTAACAGCTATAAAAATGCACCTTTCCAATCTCCTGCTGTGGGGGATATAATTGGCCAATGGCCCAGCTGCTGTGCTCTGAAATCCATCACTGTTTTGGTGCAGAGGCTGCAATTCTCAGTGGCCATTTCCAGCCAAGACACTTTGTGGCAGCAATGCTTGGTCATACTTGCTCCTGGGAGCTGTAGGACTCCACTGACACATAACTGGCTAAGGGCTCTCCATCAGCTTTGCCAACCCTTCTCACAACTGCCCTGCAGGCTAAGACTTGCACTCAGTCTCCCTTCCTTCCCTCTCTTCTTCACTGTGTTTAGACCTGCATCTTAGTCAGAAGGCACTCCTAGCCAACTTTGGCTTCTCCCTAATTGTTTTTCCTGGGCATGTCCCCTAATAAATTTCCTGCATGCCTAATCTCATTTTATCATTTGCTTCTCAGAGGTCATGAACTAATCACACCTGTTGTTTGGACGTTAATTGTATAGTTACAAATTTAAGGCTGTTCTGTAACAGTTTAATCAATGAGCATGAATCTCCAGGCAGAAATAGGTTTGAAAGAGCAGCTCTCAAAGTTGAGCCACTGGATCTCTTTAACTTGATGAGAGAATAATTGAATGATCATTTAATTTTGACCTAATTGAAATGGCAATAAAATAAATTTGCTAAAGGGTAATCTAAGGAAAATACCCTGGTAATTAATTTTCTCACAAGGTCTGGAAAAAATGTTTGATAATGCATTAGGAAAGGGCTCAGTGAACTATGACCCACAGGTCAAATTGAACTGCCATCTCTTTTTGTAAATAAAGTTTTATTGAACACAACTATACTCATTCATTTATATG